CCTCGTCCTCCTTCCCTGCACTTCCCTCCTCCTCCTTCCCTCCTCCTTTCTACTTCTCCCTCCTCCTTCTCCCCCTTCCCCTCCTCCTCCCCCCTCCCGCTCCTCCTCCCCCTATTCTCTTCTCCTGCTCCATTCCTGTTCCTTGTGAACAACTCCTCCCTGTCGCACCCCGAAGCCAGTCGGAAGGGCGGGCCAGGAGTTTCGCCAGAGAGTTCCTTGCCACTCATGGGTCTGAAACTCCGAAGTTGGCGGAAGCTTCGCATATGGAGGGCGGATTGTTTTCACAATGTGGCTCTCGCCCTAGCGCCGCGCATACTATTTTTTAGTTTTAAACATATTTTTTTGGTTTGTTTCAAGAATTGCAGGGGGTGCGCGGATTGAGGACAACTTGTTTTCAACATGTGGCTCGCGCCTCAACGCCGCGCACGTGTGTTTGACAACACATGCAAAAGCTTCACGGGTTGAGGGCAGGCCGTTTTCAACATGTGGCTCTCGCCTTAGCGCCGTGCACATTCGTTTCAACAAATTTCAAGACTTTCACCGCTTGAAGGCGGTTCGTTTTCAACATGTGGCTCGCCTTAACGCCGCACACATCCGTTTCAAATATTTGCAAGGGTTTTGCGGGTTCTCATTGTTACCGTACCAGAGAAAGTGTTTCGGAACGGTTCAGGACTGCCAGGGCTCAACGGTTAGGTTGATTCGCTGTGTTGGGGGCCTGGGAATGGTGTTCTGGCACGGTTCAGGATCGCCAAGGCGCAGCAATCAGGTTGACCGTTTACATCCTCAGCATGGTGTTTTGGCACGCTTCACGATTTTCTCACGGTTCTCTCTCAACGGGGCAGTGCCCTCAATGACACTGACCTCTTGTAGCGGCCTGTGAAAAAGGGGGCATGGAGGGAGCGTGTATTCCATCATCGTTGATGAGTCTTGGATTTGCACTGGTCCTCCTCCTCATCCTCCTCCTTCTCCTTGTCGTCCCTCCTCCCCCTCCTGCTTACCCTCCTCCTCCCCGCCTCCCGCCTCCTTCTGCTCCGTGCGCCCTCCTTCTCTTCCTCCTCCTCCCCCTCCTGTCTTCCTTCTGCGCTACATTGGGTAGGCCCGCGTCGCTTACTTGCCCGCGGGCCCTGCTTGAAAGGGCCTTGGAACCCTCTGAATCTGGTGGGGGCGTGAACGCGCCGTTAGCGCTCTGGGCTTACGGACGGGCACGAGGGTTCCAGGCAGGGCGGGGCCCTCATGACAGCCCAGCCTTGCCTCATTGACTGAAGCACTACGAACCACCCTTCGCTTCAAGGCAAACTGTCTGTCCGCCCTCCACCTGCCCCTCATCATCCCACACGGTGATGAGGAGGATGGGGGGGGGGGGAGGAGGAGGAGGAGGAGGAGGAGGAGGATGAGGAGAAGGAGGAGGAGGAGGAGGAGGAGGAGGAGGAGGGAGGAGGAGGAGGGAGGAGGATGACGAGGAGGATGACGAGGGAGGAGGAGGAGGAGGATGAGGAGGGGGAGGAGGAGGAGGAGGAGGAGGGAGGAGGAGGAGGAGGAGGAGGAGGAGGAGGAGGGGGGAGGAGGAGCAGGGGAGGAGGGGGAGGAGGAGGAGGAGGAGGAGGAGGAGGAGGGGGAGGAGGGGGAGGAGGAGGAGGAAGAGGAGGAGGGGGAGGAGGAGGAGGAGGAGGAGGAGGAGGAGGAGGAGGGGTAGGTAGGAGGAGGAGGAGGAGGAGGAGGGGAGGGAGGAGGAGGAGGGGAGGAGGAGGAGGAGGAGGAGGAGGAGGATGCAGCGCAAACCCAAGACGCATCAACGATGTTGCAATACACCCTCCCTCCAACTTCCCGCGTCATAGGTCCCTACATTTTCTCTTCTTTGTGGGAAGTGCTCCGTTGTACGACAGCCATCCGGAAAATCATCACTCGTGCCTTTTGCGTCCTGAGCATCCCAGATCGTGCCAGAACGGCGTTCCTGGGTCTTCAATACAGTGGATCAATGTGAATGTTGCGTCCTGGCAATCCTTGCCAGAAAGCCATTTCTGGGACTTCAAACACTCGGGTCCTTGAAGCAGCTGCAGACTTTTAGAACGAATGTGCGTGGCGCCACAGGCGGGAGCCACATTTCGAAAAGGAACCGCCCTCCATCCTTGAAGCTGCTACAAACTTTTAACCCAATGTGCGTATAATTACGGCGAGAGCCACATGTTGAAACAAGCTCGCCTTCCATCCGTGAAGCTGTTGCAAACGTTCAGAACGAATGTGCGCGGCGCTCAGCGAGAACAACATTTTGAAAAGGACCTGCCCTTCATCTGTGAAACTGCTGCAAACTTTCAGGCCGAACGTTCGCGGCGCGGAAACGAGAACTACATTTTGAAAACGTCCCGCCCTCCATCCGTGACCTGTTGCACATTTCGAGCTTTAGGAGTATAAGCAGTGAAGACATCTCAGGCGAAACGACGGGCCCGCCCTACCTTCACGTCTCGGGGTGCGGCAGGGAGGGACTTCTTATTAGGAAGGGGGAGCAGGGGGAGGATGAGGAGGAGGAGGAGGAGGAGGGGGAGGAGGGGGAGGAGGAGGAGGAGCAGGAGGAGAAAGATGCGATGTTAGAGCGCGCTGCGTTCTGCCCTGCGCAACACGGGGGCACCGAGCCGTGTGCCTGGGGTGGTCCACGCAGGCTCCGGCGGTGGACAACCCTCCCTTTAGTAAACCTCCCTTTCGTGAAAACGGCCTGGGACCGAAACCGACGGACCTGGACCCGCGAAAAGGCGGCCGCGGCGCCCTCTCGCGAAGAGAAAACGGCCAATTCACGAATCGACGTGTCCGGGCAGGAGGTCCATCCGCCCCCGAAGACTGGCGGGCGCTTCTGACGCCCTCTCGCGAACCGAAAACGGCCAATTCACTAATCGACGTGTCAGGGCAGGAGGTCCATCCACCCCCGAAGACTGGCGGGCGCTTCTGACGCCCTCCCGCGAACCGAAAACGGCCAATTCACTAATCGACGCGTCAGGGCAGGAGGTCCATCCGCCCCCGAAGACGGGCGGGCGCTTCCGACGCCCTCTCGCGAACCGAAAACGGCCAATTCACTAATCGACGTGTCAGGGCAGGAGGTCTGTCCGCCCCCGATCGGGGATCTTCTGACCCGGGTCAATCCAGACCCGGGTCAGCAGGAAACCAAAAACTGCAATGCAGGAAAAAAAAACTGCAACGCAGGTCTTCGCAAACCCGGGTCAGCCAATGTGTGCGGCCGCCTCGCGGCCACGAGCGGCTCCCTAACCCGGGTCAGCCAGAGGGTGTCTTCGCAGGATCCTGCAGGATCTGGTGCCCTGGCTGACCCCCGTTTGCGTTGACCCCCGTCTCAAGGCTCCCGACCCGAAGACGGGCGGGCGCCGCCGGCGCGCCCCGCGCCGCCACGAGCGCTGCGGCAGCAGGCGCGGGCGCCGCGCGCGGGGCGCCCAGCGCGCGCCCCAACTGCGCGGGGGCGAGGCGCGGCTCAGCCCAGCGGCCGCCCCCCCCCCTGAAGGGGGCCCCAGGACGCGCAAATACATACACACAAATAAACAGATTCCCTGTATTTTCCCATATTTTCGGTTTTTTTTTGTTCTACCCCCCCCCACTTCCCATATTTTCCCATATTTTCCAGGAAATCGAAGATTAATTGTGTCTGTGTGTTTCTTTCCCTCCTGACCCCCCCGGCGGGTGGCGATGGTCTCACTGTGCCAGTGATCTGGCCGAGGAGGGGCGCGTCCGGGTGGTGCCCCACCAGGGGCAGGTGCACGAAGGCCGCCTCGTTCGAGCACCACCACCATGGGCCTCTGCGTCGCAGAGGGCTGGGGTCGCGCACGACGCCGGCGTCGTAGCCGCCAGCGCCTGGATGCTGACGAGCTTCTGGTCGCCCATCTCGTGCAGCTGCGTGAGGTCCGCGAGGCCCAGTCAGCCCCAGCCAGCCATAACAGCCGCGTCCAGACATGCTGCTCGCCGAGCTTCCCCACCCTGGCGTCAGATTTCACATGTCTGGGCAACTCGACTGCCTGGGCCCTGAAGCCCGCCACCAGAACGGCCCGCGAACGGTGGAGGTCGGCTATGGTGGTGGTGTTGGCGCTGGCGAGGGCCAACGCCGCTGTGCGCTCGCGTCCTGTGGCCAAAGGGGCGCTCCACTCGGGCTTCTACTGACCCGGGTCAATGCAAGCCCGGGCCAGTCAAGCTTTGCAGGATCCTGCAAGATCCTGCAGGATCCTGCACCCCAGCCCGGGTCCATGCACCCCTGGCCCTGCAAGATCCTGCAAGATCCGGCGCTTTGGCTGACCAGTTTGCGTTGACCCCCCGTCTCTTGGGCCCCGACGCCAGAGCTCGGAGGTCACGGCCGGGCACAGGAGGCATCCCAGGCAAGTCGCGTAGGGTATCGCCACGGCGTCGGCCCACCACGGCTCCGTTGCTCGGCGGGCGGCGCGCCAGGCCAACCGCCAGAGCACGGCCAGACCCGCACTTCCAAGCGTGACAGCGCGTGCATCATCGGCGCACCACCCCTTCGCGCACCACCCCTGGAAGGAAGAGGAGGACGCACAACCCCTGGGAGGAAGAGGAGTGGGAGGAGAAGAATGAAGAGGAGGGGGAGGAGGAGGAGGAGGAGGAGGAGGAGGAGGAGGAGGAGGAGGAGGAGGAGGAGGAGGGGGAGGAGGAGGAGGAGGAGGAGGAGAGGAGGAGGACGAGGAGGATGACGGGAGGCCGGGAATCAGGGGGAGGTCGCTGCTGCTGCTCATTGCCGGGCGCCTGCCCGAACGCGTTCTCCGGCGCGTCGGGCAGCTTCTTGATCGCGTCCCGCACCTGGCAGAGGATGATTCGGAGGAGGAGGAGGGGGAGGAGGCTGAGGAGGGGGAGGAGAAGGAGGGGAAGGGAAAGAGGGAGGGAGGAGATAGGAGAGGGAAGAGTTCTATTTGTTCGAGTGAGGCTTACGCGATTGCATGACACCGTTGGTAACGAAGGGAATGCGGCCGCGCGGAAAGCTACATTGCAAGCGTTTGGAGCAAGGGCTGGGTCCCTCTATATCTGGGGCCTGGGCCAACTCCAATTTTTGAAGTTCCTGACAAGGTAAAGGGGAAGGAACGATCAACCATATACGTACACACATGCATCCATACACATATATACATACACACACCTACACATGCATACACCTGCACTCATACATGCACACTTTTTGGCGATCGCGGCCTCGCGCGCAGCGACGAGGCGGAGCAAGTCGAGCAGAGCGGCACGGAACTAGCTCGCGCGGCCGGGCCCTCAGATGCGGACCACCTGGGATTAACCGCCCACACGCCACCCGGGCGTGGGTGGCGGGTGAGCAAATTGTGACGGCGTCCGCGGACGGGGACGAGCAGCACGGCGACGCGACCGACCGACAGCGACGAAGAGAGAGAGAGAGAGAAGGAAGGAACGCACAAGCGTGTGCGAGAACCGTACCAGGAGAGGACCGCCGCTACGTGCTGCCACAGTGAGCAGGCGGATATAGTGAGCGAAGCAGCGCCAACGAGCGTCGCCGGTGCGGGATACGATCGTCCGCCTGGGACGAGGAGGTTGGGACTGCATACCTACACATACATACATATGTACATACATATACAGCATACACATACGTACATGCGTACATGCATACATGCACACGTGCATACATACACATACATGTCTACAGTTTGTCAGTGCATGTAAACTGAAGTATTGTGTACTCTTGTTTAAGGAGCGGGACCGTAGCGGTTGTGCTGGGTACCCTGCCTACATGACCCAAGACTCCACCTAGGAATGGTGGGCAGGTTACCCCCGCACAAGAGAAACAGACCTGTCACATCAGGGGCTCCGAAGCTGCGAAGGTTGCCTCCCGTATACGGAGGAGATGGACATGAGGGGAGGGAAAAGGAGGAGAGCCAGACTTGCTGGACCGCCCCTTCGTGTGGGGCCGCTTTGTGACCACCTGCCGCTGTGGGTCCTGCCGTGGGGCGAAGATGCCTGGGGGAAAGCACGCACGCCAATCTCGCAATTGCCGGGCCTGTCCGCGCAGGTGGATGCCCCCAGAAACCGTCCGGGCAAATGGGCGCAGCTCAAGCATACCGCTGGAGGAGGATGGAAGGAAGAGATCCACGTATGAGGATCAGGGTCGGAATAGTGACGTGGTTTGGAATGTGTGCCAACTCAGACACGTATCAATCAAGAAAGAGACACATAGTTGGACTGGTGGGAATGGAGCTGGTCCGCTTATGTAGCTGAACGGGCTCCTCTTGCCAACAGAGGAGGGAACCAGACCCCTTGCAAGCGAGGCTGGTCGGGCGCCTCATGCCACCTTCTTGGAGCCCGTGCATAATGACATCATCAATCGCGCACTTGGAACAAATTGTGGGCATTACTACGTGGAGAACAAACGCGCCTTGACAGACTTTGCCCTGCCTTTGAGAGCGAGAGAATGAAGCCGGCTGGGTGGCTGGCCGCCTCGAGCCAACAGGGGAGGGAACCATCCCACTTGCGAGCGAGGCTGGTTGGGCACCTCATGTCTCTCGTTCCTGTTCTGTCAGGGAGGGGAGGAGTACATCATAGATGCTGGGGAGCCGAATCGCTCCCCGCGAATCCTCTGCTGCGCAAGTGGGGACCTTCGCGCGCCAGCCTTCAGGCAAGGTTGAACCCGCGTCGGCTTGACCTGCGTGAAAGAAAGAGTACCAAAGCCACGATAGGGCATGACAGAGTGGCCGCGACAGACACGAGTATCCCAAACTACCGAGGTATCGGCAGGGAGGCGAACTTATGCCTGTCTCTGAAAACGCAGAGGGTCAAATGCATGCTGCATCGAAGAAGGAGGCTTCGACAACCAACGCGACAAGCCCAAGCATGACTGGTCTTGCGGTGCTACCCCAGGCAAGCTTTGACCACCAATCGGCCAGAGGTTAAGGAAGAAGTGGAGATGATGCAAACACCAGGTTCAAATATGTGTGTATGAATGTGTGCCAACGTTCAGGATGCCAGAGGTGTGCAAATCGTGCAACGGTAACGCTGCGTATGCCAAATATTTGCATCTCGATGGCGCACAAATGTCCTAGATAAGTCCTTCGCGCGCGCTCCCGGAACGGCGGTGCCAGGTCGGCAACGAACAAAAGGCGGAGGAGGACGAGGAGAGACACAAAAGGACAGGCGACGAGCGAGCGAAGCGGGAAAGCAGCAGGCGAGGCAGGGAGCGGGAAGCACGAGAGGAGGGAGGAGAAGGGCGGCTCCCAAAGCGTGCCTGGGGGATCCTGCAGCGTCATCATGAGCGACGAAAGCACGAGCCTGCCAACCTCACCCTGACCAGACTGCACGCCATCCCGGACCAGACTGGAAAAGGGGCGGCCCCTCCCGAACCAGGCTGGGCCCCATCTTGGACCAGACTGGACCCCATCCTGGACCAGACAATACGACAATGCTTGTGTGGCCGCTGCCGCAGAACGCGTCTGAAGGGAGGAGAAGGGAGGAGTAGAGCGTACCTGGGGAGCCACGAGCCTGCCAGCC